GTTCGGATAACGCCTCCTAATACCGTCCTCCCTCTCCCAAGTCGCCTAGGTCTCATCGTGTCGGCTCCACAGCACCTTCAGCAAGCTCACTGCCCGGTTTCTCAACTGATGGACCTTCCGGTCCAGGATAGCTACCGGCACCTCCTCATAGGTACGGTCTCGCTCGACCTGCAGTTCGCCGAAGTCCACCACATGATTAGGATCATGCACATACCTCCGAAGCATCGAGACATGGAACACATCGTGCATTCTCGACAAGTCTGGTGGTAAAGCCAGCTGATACGCCATGTTCCCAACTCGGTCGAGGATCTCGAACGGCCTAATATAGCGAGGTTTAAGCTTCCCCTTCTTCCCAAAGCGAATCACACCTCGCATGGGTGAAACCTTTAGAAAGACATGATCTCCCACAACATAAACATGCTCCTGCCTCTCCCGGTCGGCATAGACCTTCTGCCTCTCCTGGGCAGACCTGATGGTCTTCCGGATCTCCTCAACGGTCGCCGCAGTACTCTGAACAAAATCCAATCCTGTAATCCTCCTCTCTCCAACCTCATCACAATACAAAGGGGTCCGGACCTTACGTCCGTACAAAGCCTCGTACGGGACCATCTTGATCGAAGAGTGGTAGCTATTGTTGTAGGTCAGCTCGACTAGCGAAAGGGCATACTCCCAAGTCAGGCTTCGGTCCAAGACCACAGCCCTCAAAATATCCTCCAAGTACTGGACCACACGCTCTGACTGACCATCTGTCTGGGGGTGAAAGGCTGTACTGAACTCCAACCTCATCCCCATGGCTCGGTGCAACGTCCTCCAGAACTGGGGTGTGAACTTGGCATCTCGATACGAAACAATCTCCATGGGCACTCCATGAAGTTTAACAATGTCCTTGACGAACAATTCGGCGTAATCACTCGCCTTCATGGTCGTCCGGACTGGCAAAAAATGGGCAGACTTCGTAAGGCGATCCACTATCACCCAAATCGAATCATACTCGCTCCTCAATCTTAGCAGTCCCACTAAGAAATCCATGGTGATGCACTCCCACTTCCACAGGGGAACCTCGAGGGGCTGCAACAACCCTCTCGGTTTCTGGCACTCAGCCTTCACTTGTTGACACACCAGGCACTCATCCACGAACTTCGCTACCTGCCTCTTCATGCCTCGCCACCAGAAGGACTTCCTCAGGTCCTGATACATCTTCGTGCTACCAGGATGGATGGTGTACGGGGCACTATGGGCCTCTCTCAAAATCTCCCTCTGGAGCTCCCACACCTTCGAAACACAAAGTCTACCCTCGAAGACCAAGGCTCCATCAAATGCGACTGCAAATCCACCAATTCTACCAGCTGCTGACAACTCTCTCATCCGGCATAAGAAACGGTCATTCGGTTGCTCGGCGACTATCCTCTCTCGAAGAGGCGGTTCCACAACTAAAGAGGCCAGCATGTCCCCGGCTGTCGAAGTCGACTCTACTGCTTCCAACTGCAATCGCTCAAACTCCCGAAGAAGAACATCCTGCTTAGTAAACAAGCAAGACAATTGGCCATTACCCCTCCGACTAAGGGCATCGGCTACCACATTAGCTTTCCCAGGGTGATAGCTAATGGTGCAGTCGTAGTCCTTGACCAGCTCCAACCATCACACTGCCTCATGTTCAGCTCCTTCTGAGTGAAAATGTACTTCAGGCTCTTGTGGTCAGTAAAGATCTCACACTTGCCTCCATAGAGGTAGTGCCGCAAAATCTTCAAGGCGTGGACAACTGCAGCTAACTCGGGATCATGAGTGGGGTAGTTCTGCTCGTGAGGCTTCAGCTGCCTCGAAGCATAGGCTACGACTTTCCCCTGCTGCATGAGAACACAACCCAGGCCCATCTTCGAAGCATCACTATAGATGGTGGACTCAAAAGTAGGGTCGGGTATGTATAGGACAGGCGCGGTAGTGAGTCTCCTCTTCAACTCCTGGAAACCCTCCTCGCACTGAGTACTCCAAACAAATCTCATAGCCTTCTTCGTAAGGTTGGTCAGTGGCTGGGCTATCCTCGAGAAGCCCTTGATAAACCTCCTGTAGTATCCTGCTAACCCCAGGAAACTACGAACATCCGCAGCACTTCTTGGCGTATCCCAATTGCTCACCGCCTCAATCTTGTTGGGATCCACCTCAATGCCTCGAGCTGTCACAATGTGGCCAAGGAATGTCACACGGTTCAGCCAGAACTCGCACTTCAAAAACTTAGCATAGAACTTCTCGCGGCAAAGCGTCTCCAGCACAATCCTCAAATGCTCCTTGTGCTGATCGATATCTCGGGAATAGACCAAAATGTCGTCGATGAACACAACGACGAACTAGTCCAGGAAAGGATGAAAGACCCTATTCATAAGGTCCATGAAAATGGCCGAGGCATTACTGAGTCCAAAAGGCATGACTACGAACTCATAGTGGCCATAGCGGGTACGAAAAGCAGTCTTGGAAATATCCGACTCCCGGATTTTTAGCGGATGATAGCCAGAACGCAATTCAATCTTTGAGAAGACGCTGGCTCCTCTCAGCTGGTCGAAAAGATCCTCAATACGGGGAAGGGGGTATTTGTTCTTGACTGTAAGGGCATTCAACTCCCGATAGTCAATGCACATGCGCATAGATTCGTCTTTCTTCTTCACGAATAAGACGGGCGCACCCCACGGCGAGACACTCGGACGAATAAAACTGAGCTTAAGCAACTCCTGGATCTGGGCCATGAGCTCTTGAAGCTCCTTCGGCGCCATACGGTAAGAGGCCTTGGAAACGGGGCCAGCTCCGGGAATGAGGTCAATGGTGAACTCCACCTGGCGGTCTGGTGGTCCTCCGGGTAAGTCATCGGGAAAGATGTCGAGGTACTCACAAACGATAGATACTCGCTGGGGCACCTACTCATCAACATCGTCGGTTACCATGGAAACAAGATAGCCTTGATAGCTACCCTTGGAAAGGCTCTTTCTAGCTTGCATAGAAGAGATGACCCGAGGCACAGTCCTCGAACTCACCCCAAAGAACATAACAGGCTGATCGGAAATGGGATACAGGGTGACTTCGCGCTCCTGGCACCGGATATCGGCTCGGTAACGGGTGAGCCAGTCCATGCCCAAGATCACGTCAAAGTCTCGCATATCAATTACATAGGCATCGACCTCAAGAACTCGACCACCAATACAGATAGGAAGATTGTGAACCACAGAATCAGAGATAATAATTTTTCCCGAGGCTAAACTAACCTCGAGAAGATCACAAGCATGCACGGTGCCAATAGATAAAGCCTCCAAGCAACGAGAAGAAATAAAAGAATGGGTAGCACCAGTATCACATAAAGCAAAGACAGGCACATGGGATATCG